CTGAGATCTAGATTTATTTATTTAATTCAGTTTCTTTCTTTTTTTTTTAATCTGTGCTCAGCCGTGAGCGACTCTGCAGTGACTGCTTGGACGAGTCCTTTTTGCAGTTTTCAAGGCAAGTGTTTTGGAAGTGGTTTGCCAGAGCCTCCTTCCTAGAGAAGAGCCCAGCTGGCGAGCGCAGGAGGCGGGGTTTCCGTTGCTTTGCGCCCTTTTCGGGTGCACGCGGTTTTTCGCGCTTACCGGCAACTGCTCCCGACTCCTTTTTTTTGCAAGGTACTGCCAGCATTTTTCCTCCCACAATGGAGTATTGGGGGTCTCTATTTTCTTGATTAGTCTTACTTATCTTAGCATGTTTGTGCCATAACCTCCTTAATTTAAATCCTAGCATGAGGCAAGTTTTTAATGTCCTACTTGTCTGAGTTGAACTGCTTTTTGCTTCACAGTTTGATATGTGAGCATTATTACATAGCACTGACTGTGCCCACCCTTGACAGTAAGCAAAGATTGTTTTAACCACAGAGCAAGAAACAAGCCAGAGTCAGTCTTGTGTTACAGGTGTTCCCAGGTTTGGCTTATGGTCACTCACATACTCACACCCCGTTGAGGCATGCAGATCTTGTAAGCCCCCCTTGCTTTCTACCTGGGTTTTCCAGATAGGTGCGGCTGGAACAGACAGGATACAGCTCTGGGCAGCAGGCGGGAAGTAATTAGGGGCATGCACAAATCAGTTTCAGCCGAACACTGAGGCACACCAGGTTCTTTGAAATACATGGAGACCCAGTGAATTTAAAGTAACAGCAAAACTTTACTGGTTACAAAGTACATTTGCTCTTCCACACACGCACACACACACACTCATCCACACTTACCCACATCCTTCTCAACTAGGCTGCCAGGCACTAGCTAGAGGGATGGAAGCCGCCAGGTCTGGTTCTAAAGATGACTCAAGGAGTGGGCGGGCTTCAGGAACCCCTTTCATCCCCCAAAGTCCTTTGCTGATTCACAAGACTGGCAGCTACTCTTGCCTTGTTAATTTACAAGTCTGGTAGCTGTTGATGGGGTTGCGGGGGTGGGGAGTTTCCATGTGTTCAGGCCCAACTTCTTTTGTCTGGTTCAGGTGACATTTTTCCTTTTGTTTCCTTAACGACTTGTTTCCTTCTTATCTACTTCCTCAAAAGGATCTTTTAGACAAGAGTCCTGGCCTTTTGTCCTCTCTGCTTATGTGTCTGCTTCATCTTTTAGTTATGGCAGCTTCAGCCTAGTCTCACACTTGCAGATGAGCAAAGTAATTGTGGCTCCAAAAAAGAAGAATACATAGAAACAAGGAACAAATAAAAAATAAGTTTGTTAGAATTGTTAGAATAAGCCAATGTTCATAAAGATTTAGCAACTAAGAATTTATAAGGTGGTCTGAACACCCTATAAAGCCCCCTCCCCCCCATCACACTATGGCTAAGTTGTACATATGATTCCTGCCACTACATATATAATATAGCAAACTGATCTGTTCTGGTGGATATGTCAGATATCTTAACCATTAAAGTGTAGACAAACACGGCTGCCTAAGTATGCTTCGGAAAGCAGGCTGTTCCTCATTTCATGCAACCATCATGCTAGAAGGGGCCATGTCGCCTTGATTCAATCCCCTTTCAGTACAGATATCCAAATGCAAGCAGCCCCGCTAGATGGCTCTCCAGCCTCCGCTAGAACACAACTGGTGCAAGGTTGCTCCCCATCTCACTTTGAAATTAGTGCTACTGTCAGATTGCTCATAATGCTAGAATGTTTCCCCTTAACTTTTAGCTGGAATTTACATTCCTTTAACTTAATTCCATTGTTCCAAGTTGTGTGCTCGGAGGCAATAGAGACTTTGTTTCTGGTCCTGTTTCTTAGCATAGGATTGTGGCTGTTCTCTCTCCATATTTGGAGCTCCTAATAATCTTTTCATCTACAGATAATGTTTGAAACATTCAACGTACCAGCAATGTATGTGGCCATTCAAGCTGTTCTCTCCTTGTATGCATCTGGACGAACTACTGGTAAATCTGGATTGTAGTTTCTATTTCCTTTTTTTTTTTTCATTGGTATGTCTAGTGCAGTGTTTCTCAACCTTGGCGACTTTAAGATGTCTGGACTTTAACTCTGGGAGTTAAGATGTCCAGACATCTTCAAGTTGCTAAGGTTGGGAAACACTGGTCTAGTGAATAAATGCATCACCTTCCATTTTCTCCTGGACTGAGCATTGATACACAGTACAATGATAAATTTTTATCCTACCAAACTTTATGAGAAAATAACTCAGGACTGTCTGCTAAACACAGTCAGATTGCAATCTCTCTATTCTTGCATGTAATGATATATAACTAAGAAGCCCTCATCTATACACTGAAATATGAAAAGTAATCTGAAGCATGGATGAAAAAAATGCCAAGTATTTGAACATAGTAGAGTGTCTCAGCTAACTTGACTGTAGGAAAGTATTGCATGCTATCATTTATGCCTGAGATTACTTTAGATCATTTAATGTATGAAGATAAACAGAAATATGTTGTCCTTATATATAGTTTTATGAGGAATTTTACATACATGTTATATTTTTATATTCCGGTATATTGAATACCCCTTCATGGATCACTGCCTTCTCATGGCGAAGGGGCTTGCGTAACTCAGTGAAGCCATG